TTGTCATTTTAAGGCAATTTTATGCCACTCGTATAATGCTCGGATGATATAATCACATGAAAATATACTACAGTAATTTATAGTAATTAGTGTTTTTTTACCATGAATCTGACACCTTCAATAGAGATGGAGAGGTTGCACAAACAGCTGAAGTGTTGCTAGAATTGGTTTTTATGTATGGGTGATATATATTGCATCACTAAAAATGATTGAGGTCATGTCCATGTGTTGTGCGATTAGTCCATATACAGATTATTGTGACAGGCCTACCTCCAAGACCACAAAAGCTGCATATTTAGTCAGCCATACTGTTCAGATAATGACCAGATTAAGTAACCATAACAGCACATCATCTGCATGTTTTGTGTTTTGCATTATTGTGCAAATTGCAAGATCGCAGTGGAAAAACGAGGATCACAGGGAAATCCTGATGCTTTGATAAACTCCATCTCTGGTGCTGCATTATTCCTGCTGCTTATAATTCCGAGAATGAATTCCAGATTTCCCTCTGGATTACACTGGCAGGAATGTCCCGAGGCTGACTTTATATTGCTTTTTTTTAATGCAAGGGATTTACCATCCAATACGTGGAGCATATTTATGCTTTGCTGTCAAAAACTACTATGCTTTAAGCATAGTAGAGTGAAAATGATTTGAAACGTTCTTTGGGATTTTGGATGGATTTGAGAGCAGTAATTTCACTTAAATTGATCAAGTAGTTTTGTCGTTTTATTTACGTCAAACATCAGATCTTTTTCAGATGTTTTTCAGTCATTTTTGAATAAATTTGAGAAACCATTATAGGGGTGCACGATATTCAAAAAATCGGACATTGTGCTTTTTTTGTATTTCTACAATATATATTATGATATAATTACAGTTTTACCAGATTACCGAATAGATCTCTTTGGGAACAATGTATTCATTTTCAATTATTTTACGTCAAATATAAGATGTTCATGACATTTTGTTTTAATGAATTTGAGGCACCGTGTGATAGGGCTGCTCGATTATGGGAAAAATCATAATCACGCATATTTTGGTCATAATTGTAATCACGATTATTCAAAACAATTATCAGTTAAAGTCAAAATTATTCGCCCTCCAGTGAATTTATTTTTATATACAAATATTTCCCAAATTATGTTTAACAGAGCAATTTTTTACAGTATTTACTATAATATTTTTTTCTTCTGGAGAAAGGCTTATTTGTTTTATTTTAGCTAGATAAAAATCAGGTTTAAATATTTTGAAATCTATTTTAATAGCTCAATATTATTAGCCCCCTTAGGCAATATATTTTTGATTGTCTGCAGAAGAAACTACTGTTACATAATGACTTGCCTATTTACTCTAGTTAAGCTTTTAAATGTCACTTTAAGCTGAATACTAGTATCTTGAAAAATATCTAGTAAAATATTATGTGCTGTCATCATAGCAAAGATAAAAGAAATCAGTTATTAGAAATGAGCTATTAAATCTGTTATGTTTAAACTGTTATGTTTTAAGCATCTTCACTGTAAGAAAAAACTTTAACTACAAAAGTCCTTCAGCCAAGAGCAGTGAGTGGATTTTGTCCTTTTGTTGTTTGATTTAATAATAAAAACAGCAGCAGGAATATCGCACGCTGTCACTTTAAGAATAGTGCAGCTGCGATATGGTTTCTCTTTCACGTGTCTTTTGATTCTCATCTTGTTTGTTTATTACACAAATGAGGATTAATTTGAATAATCACTAAACACCGTGCATGTATTTGACCATTAAAGCGCTCGCATTAAGATGGCGTTAGATGTGCGTGTGCTCTGCTGTCTGAGGCTAAGCGCGAACCGCGAGCACACAGACACACACAAACACACACAATAACTGTCCGAGGCTAAGCGCAGCGCGCGCGCACACAACAGCACGTGCACTTTCGCGCTTTTAAAAATATGAAAAATGCGCATCCCATGCTGCAAAAGTTACATTACAGCCTATCTTTCAGTCACTTTCATGTGGAACTGGAAAGGAGGCCGTATATGATGGAATAATCTTTTATCTCGATTTTTGGTTTTTCATAATCGTTAGAAGTCGTAATCGAAATCAGATTTTCGATTAATTGCACAGCCCTACCGTGTTATTACTTAAATATTTAGATCTGTCATTATTTTAGCTGACTTGGCTTCTTAATGTTTTTTGAGGGTTTTGGACCGATTTGAGACCAATAATTTATCTTAAATTGATCATATAGTTTTGTCATTTTATTATTTTACGTCAAAGATCAGATGTTCATGTCATTTTTGAATGAATTTGAGTAACTGCAATTACTTCATGAAAAATATTTAGCTCTGTCTTTATTTTAGCCTTATTATTTTGCGGCAGCTTCTTTGAAACTTTTTTTGGAGGATTTTCTCTTTACTTTAGCTTAATTGGCTTCTTTGAAAGGTTTTTGGGGATATTTGGAACGATTTGAGAGCATTAATTTCTCTTAAAATGATCATATAGTTTTGTAATTTTATTAGTTTATGTTAAAGATCAGATGTTTGTGTCATTTTTTTAAATAAATTTGAGGAACCATGTATTTACTTCATGAAAGATATTTTGCTCTGTCTTTATTTTAGCTTAATTATTTTAAAACGTCTTTGAAAATTTTTTTTTTGATAGATTTAAGAGCATTAATTTCTTTTAAATTGATCATATAATTTTGTCATTTTGTTATTTTACATCAAAGATCAGATGTTTGTGTCATTTTTGAATAATTTTGAGCAACTGTCCAATTACTTCATGAAAGATATTAAGTCTTTATTTTAGCTTAATTATTTTGCAGCAGCTTCTTTGAAACATTTTTTTTGGGGATTTTCTCTTTACTTTTAGCTTAAATGGCTTCTTTGAAATGTTTTTAGGGGAGATTTGGATAAATTTGATTGCATTAATATATAAATTGATTATATAGTTTTGTCATTTTATTAGTTTACGTCAAAGATCAGATGTTTGTCATTTTTGAATGAACTTAAAACCATGCTGGGAGCTGCACGATATAGAAAAAATCGGACATTGCGATATTTTGTATTTCTGCGATGATTGCGATTATAAATACAATGCCACCAGATTATTAAATTAATTTGACGAACCGTGCGTTTACTTCATGAAAGATATTTGGGTCTAGTTGTTATTTTAGCTTAACTATTTTATTTCATGAAAGATATTTAGCTCTGTCTTTATTTTAGCTTAACTATTTCGCAACGTCTTCTTTGAAACATTTTTGGGGGGATTTTCTTTTTACTTTAGCGTAATTGGCTTCTTTGAAAGGTGTTTGAGGTCATTTGGACAGATTTGAGAGCAATAATTTCTCTTAAATTAATCATTTAGTTTTGTAATTTTATTAGTTTACATCAAAGATTAGATGATTGTCATTTTTGAATAAATTTGAGAAACCATGATGGGGCTGCACGAGATAAAAAAAAAAAAAACGGATATTTTGTATTTCTGCGATTATTGCGATATAAATACGATTTCACCAGATTATCGAATAGATCTCTTTGGGAAAAAATTGTATACATTTTCAATCTATTATTTTATGTGAAAGATCAGATGTTTGTGTGGTTTTTTTTTTTTTATGAATTTGAGGAACCGTGTGCTTGCTTCATGAAAGATATTTAGGTCTGTCTTTATTTAGCTTACTTGGCTTCAAAACGTTTTTTTGAGGATTTTGGCCAGATTTGAGAGCATTAATTTCATTTAGCATTTAGTTTCCATCACTTGTTTGCAATGTAGTGTATCTTACACCTCTTCTTTATTAGTTTGTCAGTCAGTTTCCAGTCTTTGAAACCAGACATTTTATTTTACAGCATTCGATGTCCATAACCTTTATTTTCCCATTTTTCCATCAAAGATTATTTAGTTTGTTTGAGTCTCCAATATTTTCCATTTAATGTGTTTTACATTAAGCCAGTTGTTCTGACTGAAAGTGGTGGAAACTCGTATATTTGGAATCCATATTTTAAGGCTGCAAACCAAACATTTCCTTAAATTTACAATATTTTATGTCAATAAATTCATTATAAAATGTTCTGTTTGGTTAATTTGTCAATCACTTAGCATTTAAAGGTTGTTTAATCTTAAATCAACTTGTTAAATATTTAGAGTTTCTGTCTAAGGTCATAAATGATCAAATCTTCCAATGATCTTGAATTTGTTCAGTTCAGTCAATATTAGGATTTCATTTATTAGTTTGTCAGCTATTGCTCATTTAAAACTGAAGAAACGGGATTCATTTTTTATGTGATGCATATTGTAAATAAGTGCACCTAACATTTGTGTCTTTGTGGTTTTCACAAATGCAAAGTGTTTCCATTTTTTTGTCTTAAATGTCATAAATGAGGCTCAGTCTTGCTTTAATTCAATTTGAATACATTTTCTAACACTTCTAAGCTCATTTACCAATCATTTTGCAGTAAAAATGAATTTAATTCTGATTCATCTTGTAAGCAAACAAACATTCCAAACACTATCGCAAAACTCTGTGCCTATAAAATTCCCTTTTTCTGCATCAAATGTCGCTTATGTTTATATTGTTTATTAAGTATTTTCAAACTTTATAAACTAGACTGTCCATTAACTGTTGCACAGTCCATCTTGAATGCCAGCAAACCAATCGTTTTCTCAGTTTTGTTTTTTACAAGAAGGGACAGTGTACATTAATCGGCATTCCCCAAAAACGTAAATGTACCCAAAATTAGCCCAAAGACTAGTTTTCATTGGTGGTCCCCTGATGTTAAAAGCCTACACCAATGAAAATACAAATTTAATAAACAACTATAAACAATACTCAAATACTATTAACAATACTTAACAATACACAACACTGCTCTGGGTGTGTTTATGGCGTGTGTTGGATGGGTAAATGCCAAGTACAAATTCCCATACTTGGCCAAAATTACAACTTTGAAAGTTGAACAACTGAAAACAACCACATAGATGTCTTAACGAACACCTTCAAATATGTTGTTCTTTGTCTTTTGCAGGAACCATGTAAAGTTGGAGAGTCTCGAGGACACGTTCCTCCTCGAAGGGGGCAATGATTCCCTCTCGGACAAACACGGCTGTCCTGCTTACGTCAGCCCTGAAATCCTCAATGCAAACGGCAGCTATTCGGGAAAGGCGGCGGACGTGTGGAGCTTAGGAGTGATGCTGTACACCATCCTGGTTGGCCGGTATCCCTTCCACGATGTGGAGCCAAGTTCGCTGTTCAGTAAGATCCGCCGCGGGCAGTTTAGCATCCCAGAGACGCTAACACCCAAAGCGCGATGCCTGATTCGTAGCATCTTGCGGAGAGAGCCCGCCGAGCGCCTCACATCCCGAGAAATTCTGGACCATCCCTGGTTTTTGGCCTCCATCACTCCGGCCGTCAACCATGGAAGAAACGAACGGGAGTTGGACCAAATGGTACCAGAGGCCAACATGGAAGAAGAACTAGAACAGTTCTTTAGCTGAGCACAAACTCGTCAAGACATTTATGCCACGTTCTTTTAGATTATCTGATAAACAAAAACGCAAAATACACTCATATTACAATGGTGTCTATCGTTATTTCTCATTCCGCGGAGAGATGTGGACTGTTTCTGGTGAAGCTACGACTTCTGGACGAAGCGAAATGCTAATGGCGTTGAGTGATGTAGCAAGACTTTTTTGGTTTATTGTTTAGGTTTTTACGTGGTGCTCACGAGTCGCAGTAAGCTACGAAACATGCATTACAGCACAGGAGAACGCAGCCAAGGAACAAAGAAAATATCAGGCAAAACAGCTCCTGTTTCCTGCGCCAAGTTGTCGACCGTGTTTTCTTTCTTCCTCGAATGCAGTTTGTTGTTGGTTGCGTCTTTTTTTTTTTTTTGGTTCATTCTAAGAATATCTAGCCTTATCTCACGAGGAAGCAAAACTATTTTACGCTTTGTCAGTTTAAGGGCTAATTTGTATTAGTTCAGTCATACGAAAATGTATGACTATTAAAAGGAGGTGTGACACCAAATGCCACCCTTAAACCCAATCATAATTGGCGGATGAGCAAATCATACTAAATTGTACAGATCAGATCTACAATTTTATACGAATTACCCTCTAAATCAAAAATTTACGAATTGGCATGGTCAGTTTAGTGGCTAATTCATACAAATTCATGAGTCAGTTGTACGAAAATGTACGATTTTTGAAGGGAGCCGAGGCACCAAACTCCATCCCTAAACCCAATCGTTACTGGGGGGATGAGCAAATCGTACTAAATTGTATGAATGAGGTTGCATGAATTAGCCACTAAACCAACAAATTACGAATTAGCATAGTCAGTTTATTGGGTAATTCATATGAGATAAGTCATACAAAAATGTACAATTTATAAAAGGAGGCTTGGCACCAAACTCAACCCATAAACCCAACTATTATTGGGGGATCAGCAAATCGTACAAAATTGTACAAATGAGATCATACAAATTAGCCACTAAATCAAGTTGCGAATTAGCATGCTCAGTTTAGTGGCTAATTCTTACAAATTCATGAGTTCAGTTGTACAAAAATTTAAGATTTTTAAAAGGAGCCGTGGCACCAAACTCCGTCATATATATAAACCGTCATTGGGGAATGAGCAAATTGTACTAAATTGTTTGAATGAGGTTATATGAATTTATACGAATCAGCCACTAAATCAACAAATTACGAATTAGCATAGTCAGTTTAGTGGCTAATTCATACAAAATCATATAAGTTCGTTAGTACGAAAAGTATGAATTTTTTTTTTTTTTTAAGGAGCCATGGCACCAAATGCCACCCCTAAACCCAACTGTCATTGGCAGATGAGCAAATCATGCTAAATTGTACAAATAAGATCTACAAATTCATTCGAATTAGCCACTAAATCAACAAGTTATGAATTAGCATGGTCAGTTTAGTGGCTAATTCATATGACATAAGTCGGTAGTACGAAAAGTATGATTTTTAAAAATGTCACCCCTAAACCCAACCATCATCATGGGTTGAGCAAAACGTATTAAATTGTTCGAATGAGATCTATGAATTCATACGAATTAGCCACTAAATCAAAAAGTTTCGAATTGCTGTGAGATTGTTGGAATATCCGCAAACGTCGACAGCCATCCTCTGTGACCTTTAGTTTTTACATTAAAAAAAAAAAAGTTTGTGTTGCATTAAGCTGTTCCTTTTACTATTATTGCTGCTTTTTCCGCTCTAACGTTACTGAAACGTTCTCCTTTCGGAGAATTTAAAGAAAACGTCAAGCACTTGACTCGCCTAGGCTTGGAGATGCTCTCTAAACTAGTGTCATCTATTTAACTTTTAGTTAGGTTTTTCCTTTTTGCTGGAGCAAAATGTAACTTTTTTTATTTTATTTATAACTTAACAACTACTATATTTAAAAAAAGGAATACATGCAGGGTTTTTTGGTTAACCGCGAATATTGTAGGCAATACATTTGACACAGGACAGGTTTGACTTTTTGCATCAAAGTTCGTCCCAAGTTGGAAAGTCTACGATTTAAACGTCAGTGCCAGTAACTGCGCACCCCGAACTCACGTTTTTATTTTTCTTCTTTTTTTTTTTTTTTGGTTTGTTTTTGCATTTGACTCCATAAATATTAGACGATATTGCTACGACTACAAGGTCTCGAGTACCTCTACTGCCTGCATAGGTCTGTGAAATGATCATGTTTTGAATGGGTACGTGTAGACTTGTTTCGTCGTATATTATTGTTACTTGAAATCGTGATTTATATCTAGTCAATGGCATGTGCCCTTTGAATGCTTTAGCCTGCCTAGCAAGAGGGGAGTTTGTTTTTTAAAATATATATATAAATATAAATATATTTTATTTTTTCCTTGAAGAATATTACGAAGGATTTACTAGGAGTCCAATTGCGCTTTTTATTTTAGTTTGTTTTATTTTTTGCTTGTTTGTTTTCTTCTGGTCATTGTGCTTTGCCCTTTTTCTGTAGAAGGAACTTGCCTACTTAAGTTGGTGCTGATTAGGTGCTAAATTTGAAGGATTTTTTTTCTGTTCCTTTATTATTATTTTTTCCTCATGTTTTCGAGGGGAGGGGGGAGTGCATGGTGGGATTATCTGCCTCAGATGCTCTGATTGTAATGTAACAAATTTTTGGTGTTTTGTCCAGATTTATTCAGTAAATAAATTGTGAACTGCACACTGAACGCTGTATCTTTTTATGCAATCTTTAAAGGACATAAATAGACAATAAAACAAAACAAAGAAAAGGAAATGTTTTTATGGTGGAAACGAATTTGAAGTGTCATTAATATGCTTGCATGGAGTTACAGATTTATTATTTATTATTTATATTTATTTAATTTAGCAAAAAAAAAAAAAAACTGTATATGTGTATAGGACGGGTGGGCAAACTCGGTCCTGGAGGGCTGGTGTCCTGCACAGTTTAGCTCCAACACTAATCAAACATACCTGAACATGCTAATCAAACACACCTGAACATGCTAATCAAACACACCTGAACATGCTAATCAGTGTCTTCAAGATCACTAGAAATCTTTAAGCAGCTGTGTTCGATTAGAGTTGGAGCTAAACTGTGCGGCCCTCCAGGACCGAGTTTGCCCACCCCTGGTATAGGATGATCTCAAACCTTTCACTCAACATTCACAAAACAAAAATTAATTTTATTCAAACATTTTAAGAATTGTAAAACTGCACAAATACAATGGTTTAAAAAAACAGATTTAATTAAATGAACATGCTTTCCAAAAATATTTTTAATTTTAAGAAAAAGTCTTAGATTTTTTATTCATAATCATTATATATTGTTAATATATTTATATTTTGGACGGCATTATGCTACAGTGGACAGCATGATCGCCTCACAGCAACAACGTCTCTGGTTCGAGCCTCGCCTGGGTGAGTTGGCATTTCTGTTTGCATGTTCTCCCCGTGTTGATGTAGATTTCCTCCAGGTGCTCCGGTTTCCCCCCACAGTCCAAAGACATGCGCTATTTGTAAATTGGGTAAGCTGAATTGTCTGTAGTGTATGTGTGTGAATGAGTGTATGGGTGTTTTCCTGTGACGCCACTGGCTCGCATGGTTCAGGATTGGTAGAGCTACGCATCGATGAATTTGCTCTTTAGTGTTTGAACTCTCAGTAATGATTAAATCACACTGAACTGAGCTAAACTGAACTGAACTTAAACACTAAAAAACTGAACTACACTGTTCCAGTTACTACGACCATTTATGTGAAGCTGCTTTGACACAATCTACATTGTAAAAGCGCTATACAAATTAAGCTGAATTGAATTGACGTGTTGCAGCTGGAAGGGCATCCACTGCGTGAAAAGTTGGCGGTTCATTCTGCTGTTGTGACCCCTAATTAATGATGAGATCACTCTGAAAAAGAAAATGAATGAATAAATATATTTTGTAAATATACGTTTTGAATATATTTTTTTTCAGAAAATGTACACAATATTTGCATAAGCCTAAGTTATATTTTAAGAATTATACATCTGCACAAGAACCCAGATTTTAACTACTTTTGTTTACAAACTTCACAAAAAAAAAATGCATAAAAGGTGTGTGTGTGTGTGTTAGGGGTGTAACAGGTCATGTTTGATCTGTGATTCGTACGGATCACAACCCACGGTTACGAACACATGACTCGCGGATTAAAAAAAAAAAATCATCTTACTAAATTTGTAATGATCTCAGAGAGATCACCTCATTCAAATCACATGTACTGTATGAAAGCATTTGGGTTTCCTGTCAAATATAAGGATGACTCAAGTTATTTTAGGTTATTGGGGATGTGGTGGGTTTCTAAGGTTATTAAAGGTGTTTTCTGTCACTGTTGTTTAGCCTGCATTAATGCGTTCAGTGTAAGCTGCAGAATTAATCATTAAAAGATTGGGATCTCAACACCCACGCAACATAAATTATAAATGATGGTGATTTACATGTTTATTAATCTTTGGAATCGCTGCATTCAAATCTGTGTTTAAAAACCGCAATAATCAAGAAAGAGATTCAGTCTTTAGTCTTTTGAGTTGGTTATAAAGTTACAAACAGTCCAATAACACAGAAATACTGGAAGAACAGTTTATAGTTTAAATAAAACCATTGATGTTTATGGTAAAGATTAAAATCACTGTCATATGCATTTAAGTTGATGCTCAAAACTGAAAGTTGTAAGCAGTACTTATATTATTTTTTAACCAATAGGTAGCGACAACCAGCCATCAAAGGTATGCCACTGAATGATTCTTTAAAAATGATCCATCTAGCAATAAAACATGAAGATTTATGAGTGAATAACTGAATCATTTATTGAAAATGAGACTTAAAAAAGGTTGTACAAATTATAATGTTAGATTTCTACATTTAGCGTTATCAGCAACAGCAGTAACAGTGAATTTTTCACACAACTGAATATTTTACTATTTTATTTTCATTCAGATGATTATTCTTCTTTTTATTTTTAATAAAATTACAGGTTCTCAGTTCTGCCGGTTAAAACAAAACGTTTCCTGCAGTACTGCTTTTGTGATAAATAGAAAGCAAATGACATTGGTCTCCTCTTTTTAGCTGATCTAAAAAAAAATGGTCTGATCCATGACTAAAAAACCATAACGTGATCCGAACCGTTAGATTTGTGATCCGCTAGAGTTGATCAGCACAATTATGATGCCTAAATACAAAATGGCTGATTTTTTGCAAATATGAATCTGTGTGGTAGTTATTCCAGTGTTCATTAATCATGGACTATTTCTAGATTAGATTATTTAAACCATTTGATCTAGACATTATGACCTATGACTTGTTAAAATAAAGCTATTCTCTTTTTCTTTTTTTACCCCAGCAGACCGGTTCATTGCTCTGATTACATTGCTTGACCGCCACTAAATCCGACTAAAGCCTATTGGGAAATAATCCATCAAACACAGATTAATGTCTTGTGCATTGGGCCCGTTTTATATGATCTGACCCTGTGGCCTGCGCTGTAAACATACACACTATACATTTAACACTTGTGTCTCTCGTGGATTCAATTAAAAAGAAACAAATAAAACCGTCAAATAAAGCTGATTTATGCAAACGCGTCCTTTTCTATTAGAAAAAGTCATTTATTATGGCCAGACCACATTAAAGTGCGCTATTATTCTGTTTCAAATGATTAGTTTGAGATTTATATCTAAGCCCTGCCTTTCTAAGAGTCTGCTTTGCTCTGGTTGTACTGATGATTGACCTAGTATTTTATAATTGGTCGCCAAATTACAGCACAAACTAAATGTAAACAATGTAATGTGTATTTATATAGCGCATTTATTGTGTATGGCAATACACCCAAAGCGCTTCACAATCATGAGGGGGGGTCTCTCCACACCACCACCAGTGTGCAGCATCCACTTGGATGATGCGACGGCTGCCACAGGACAACGGCGCCAGTGCGCTCACCACACACCAGCTATTGGTGGAGTGGAGAGACAGTGATAGAGCCAATTCAGTGGAGAGTGGATGATTGGGAGGCCATGATTGTAAGGGCCGATAGAGGGACTTTGGCCAGGACACGGGGGTTACACCCCTGCTCTTTCACGAGAAGTGCCATGGGATTTTTAATGACCACAGAGAGTCAGGACCTCGGTTTAACATCTCATCTGAAAGACGGCGCCCACTGACAGTTTAGTGTCCCCTTCACTTTTACTGGGGCATTAGGACTCACACAGACCACAGGTTGAGCGCCCCCTGCTGGCCTCACTAACACCACTTCCAACAGCAACCTAGTGTTTCCTAGTGGTCTCCCATCCAGGTACTGACCAGGCTCAGCCCTGCTTAGCTT